AATAACAACCTTAAAAATACCAAGAAGTTATTTAAATCCAATCAAATTTGTTCAATACTGGTAATGTATTTCTTTACAGATCATTGTTTTAATATCTTTTTCTACCCACATACCAACTTTTTACCATTTTTAGTTATTTACCAATAAATTGCAAACCAATTGCTTACCTCAACCCAAGGACCAATCTTAATGCCATTATCCCCTTAATCATATGATCTACTAAAATATTATTTTAATTAATTAAAATTTTACATATCTTAAACTATTAATTTTTTTTATATTCTTCATTAAAAGTTACTTATGAATTTTCTCTAAATCTATCTCTTAACTCAATCCATTTTCGAATTTTAAATCCTTTACCTTCATCATCATATGATCCACCACTTAAATATAATTTATTGTTTTTACATCTATTTTTATTTTGATAATAAATCGTTCTCTTCTATCCATTTTCCATTCTTTTCACCCTATTTGTTGTATTCTCCTCCACCACTATTCATAAATAAAAATCTTTAATAAAAGTCTTTTTCCTCATAGATAAAATTCCAAGCTTCTATTCGTAAATCATTTTCATATCATCCTACTTCATATAATAAGTATTCTTATTTACCTCCAATAATTCTTAATTAACTCCATCCAATATCCTTATTTTTATCCAGCTTAAGAGTACTATCCACCGACATTTTTTAAAATATTTCCCTTCCATTTTAAAATCCATTTTCTAACTTTTTATTATTTTTTTTATATTCTCCAGCCAATAACAAATGTTATATTTATTCTAAATTCGTTGATATTTCAGGTTTATTTGAAATATCTTTGATAGAATCTCTATTAAGATTATTAATAAGTGAAAAATTACATTCCTATGGCTAATCCATCTTTTATGTATTTTATTTTGTTATCTAAAGTAATTACTGCTTTAAATTTGTTTATTTTCCAATAAAAAAATGTAATCTTCAATAAATTTGAAATTTAAAAGTGAATTATCGTATATTGTACCAGATTAATAATGATGACAATTATTTATACTTCATGCTTTTTTCCTATCTAATAGTTCTATACTTTAAAAAGAAAGATTACTTAATCTTGAACTCAAATCTCTTCCTCAGTAGAAATGCATACTGCAGTTAATGAGGTAAAAGATTTCATAATTATGAATTTTCTACTAAATGACATGACAAAACTACATTATTAGTACCTATTATAATTAAAGTAACTAAGAATTTCATTTAAGTTTTTATCGAAAGCAAAAAATAGATTATTATAAATAATCTATAAATAAAAAGTTTCGAATTAACTTCATCAACTCCTCTTACTGACTTGATTGCATGAATAAACTAATTAAAGTTAAAGGAGACTATAAGGTCACATAAGTTCTTTTATCCATATAGATGTTTGAGTATCACTGAGTTTCTCCTATTATCAAAGTTTGGAAGTTATATACCTCTGAAAATTAACTATAATGATCCAAATCATATTATTAAAATCACATTTTACAATCAATTAAATCTTTGAACAAGTTATAATTGAATGCATCTTGAGTTCCCTTCTAAAAAGAAGTAAAATTTTAGATTTATTTAATTTTTTTCAGAATTTTAAATCCATAATCCTTATATAATACTACTGCCTTATCAATATTTTTATTTTAAAGGATATTGATAAGCATATATTCAAATCTTCTCATCCAACAAGTTCCAGGGGAATATATGGACCCTAAGATATACTAGATAGAGGATGTATCGATCCTATTATCATTTTTATGTCTCAATAGGTTCTTACTTCAATTAAATCAATTTCAAATCTTCACAAAGCCTAACCTCAACTTTACAAAAATATAGAATTAGTTTTATTGATTTATAGTATAAATCTTATAGTAAAGTAATAAAAGTTCAATATAAAAAAAATAAGAAAGAAAATGAATTGAAATTTTAAATAGAAGGGAGCTCTTGCTGACATTTTTTCTTAAGTTAAAGATTTAGATGAACAAATATTTGAAATTCTGTTAAAAATATTTTGTAAGGAAAATGTTGAAAATGTTTAAGGCTGCATAGGATATCTTTCAGATGATGGAAATCAAAAAAATTTTAATAATTTTTCATTCAAGGAGAGAAGTTAACATAAGTTGATAAAGAATAAAAATTATATGATGTTAATTTTAACATGAAACAAATTACTAATGTCTTAAAAAAAATAAAAGATCATGACTTCCATAATAAAGACTATTCAAGTGAAGGATATTAAGGATCTCTAAAGTCTATTTGAAATCATAAAGGATGATAGATAGATTTTAGAATTTTTGTAATTGTTAATTCATCTCACATCCATAGATGACACTCTAATTTAATGTGGGTCAAATTCATTGTATGTATTAGTTTAGATGAAGGTGGACCTAAGAAATAAAAATTTTGAAAATATTAAGATTTAAAATACATCTTTGGTGGGAGCTAATTTTTTGGTTGTAATTTTAGCGAATTGAATTTAAATAGAGCTTTACTATTCAATTGTAAATGGAAAAATTTGAGAAATCATGAATTAGATACATTAGAAGGTCATAATAGTACTGTCTTATCAGTATGCTTTTCTCCTGATGGAACTAGTTATTGGATGTTAAAATAGGATAATACAACGACAAATTAGATGGTCATTTTCATACTGTCTACTCAGTATGCTTCTCTCCTGATGCTACTATATTAGCGTCTGATAGTTACGATAATTCTATACGTTTATGGGATCTTAAAATACAAAAGAAAATTTAACCCTCCTATAATATTAATAAAAATATATTAGCATCATTTAAAGCCCACCTTTAAAAAAAACAATCTATTATCAGTATATAATTTAATTTTATTTAGTTAAGCCTATTTTTACTACATTTCTTTTATGCTCATAACTATATTTTGAAGCATAAGAAGCTTTAATCTTTTTAAGGAGAATTTACAAACCATTAAGTCAAAGATTTACGTTATTTATTTATTAATAGGGGTGCTTGTATTTTAGAAAATTGGATCAATCTTCAATAGGAAGCAATTAATTAGTGATTATTATAAGAAATTTTTTAAGAAGAGAATACAAAATATTTATATGAAGCTTTGGAGAAATAATAATAATACAAGAAGGACTAATTCTAAGCGTGATTTTTCTAACGATCAGAATCAAAGTATGAAAAGGCAGTTAAAATAATAGTAGATAATAAACTAAAAGAGATTT